GGCGGGAGCGCTGCGGTGCCCGCCTGCCCTGCGTTTATCGCTGTCCCTTTCCCGGGCGTTCTCCTGCCCTCCCGCACCAGGAAGGGCAGGGGATAATCCGAGCAATTTTCACTGTACTATGGCAGGAAGAGATTTCCCCTGTATTTTTGTCCGGATGAAACGCCTCTTGGCTTTCCAAGCCGGCATCATCTCCCACCCACTTTGGATGTTCATCTGTTGCTGACACATCCTGCTTGTGTTCAGCTCTCCATCTCGTGGCACTTGGGCAACTATTGTTCCCCCTCGTGGTTTAACCTGACAAGAGGCCAGGACGATCCTGGTCAGCAGACCAGGGAAGCCCCCCCATGACATGTCTGTTTTGTCCTCTTGCAGGTCTGGATGGTGGGCTCTTACAACACAGAAAAAGCCTCTTCAGGACTCTGGCTGCTGTGTAACAGGAGCTGCAGACAACTGCCGGTGGCCACCAGTGATGACGGTAAGTTACATTTTCATTTTCACGCTGATGATTTGCAAGACACGGGTATGCAATGCCAAGGCTGAGTCCTCACCCTCTCAACCCTACTCCCTCTATGTTCATAGCTTCCCTCAAAGCAGCACAAGCCTTTATGATCCTCTCAATCATCTTCTCCGTCATCGCGCTTGTCATGTTCATCGTCCAGCTGTTCACCCTGGAGAAAGGCAAACGTTTCTACATCACTGGAGCCGTCATGCTGGTTTGCTGTAAGTATGGACTCCTTGTGATGGCTCTGCAGGCCTCCCAATGCCTCTCTGAGCACAAGCAGCAGCACATGTCAGCTACATGTGGCCATCAGGGGGAGGCTGTCAGCCAGCTGAAAGTTTCCAGTGGCCCAATTTTTTTGCTAAAGCATTGAGGAATTGGAGAGTGATTTTATTTTAATTTAATTTAAATAATGAAAATATTTCTGGATCTTCATTAGAAAACCCCAGTGGGTTTTGCAAAATACCTTTGAAGGACAACAAAAAAGAAACATACAAGTATTTATTGGGAGGAGGGGGCAGGGGGAATAAGTAGTTACATAGCTACTGCTCGTGGGAGTCAACATGTAGCATCAAAATGTGTACAGACAGTATTACTGATTCCCTCCTAACAAAGGTTTATTCCCTGTGGCACCCACTAAACAAATCCCAAGTGTCTTATGTCATCATGTCTCCAAGATAAACATCATGCCTCCAAAAATAAACCTAATGGGCAGCAGCCCATCTCTCAGATGGCACAATATATACATTATGATCTCGAGGGGCACCAATATTTCAGATGTCCTGCAGCAATGCTGGCTTCTATGTGTTTTCCAACTCTTTCTTTCCCTGCCTTCTTTCCTACAGGGATGTGCATTCTGATTGGAGCCTCCATTTACACGGCTCGGTTCACAAGGATGCCTGGGTTCACAAACGTTCACCATGGCTACTGCTTCATATTGGCCTGGATCTGCTTTTGCTTCAGTTTCATCATTAGCATACTTTACCTTGTTCTTAGGAAAAAATAAGGCTGATGGGAGCGCAGGGAGAGGGTTGGCTACTGGGGGATGGGGAATAAGAATTGCTCTGCTGAGAGAACTGTTGGGCCAATTGAAAAACTGGAAACAGCCACCACCCCACCCCCTCCCACCACCACAGAAAAATAACTAACAAAACTAAAATCTTCTCAGAACACATTCACCAACGTGAGGGAGAAGCAGCTCCAATTGATCAGTTACTCCTGGGGCTGTTGGGCCAGAAATCTGCAAGTGACCCAGACAGCTGTTCTGCTTTTCTGCAAAGTTACGTCGTACCTTTACAAACTGTCAAGCTCAGCAGTGATGACTGAAGGGCACCATGAAAATGAGGGCTACATTTTTTTCCCTTCCTAGTGCCCTTCCCACTTATCTCTCAGTGTGCCTTGTGGGTTGGACTGCGAGGCTTACAACCCTTTTTTTGTCCATTGAAACAAATGGGATGGGTCTTTTGTTACATTTTTTTATAGATTATATATATATATATATATATATGCATATATATGAAAGTTAAAAACATTAAATTGAGAAACAGCCCACTAGAAATCAAGAGGAAATTGGTGTTAAAAATATCTACAGAACTGAGACAGAAAATTTTGGCTATTTTTTCCTATTTGACATTCCCATGGTTGAATCAGGTATAGATAGGATGGACAAATATACAGGCATGGGAGAGAGAGAGAGAGAAGGAGAGAGAGGGAAGGTGCACAAGGGTTCCTGATTGCAGAGGATGTAGTTGCTCAAAGACGCAAATGCAGGGAGTCATTTGGGTATGTGTCTGCACTAAAACCTCCTGATTGGCTCTATAACATGGCAACAGCACTGCAACATCGCACATCTTTTGTAGGCAGTCTTTTTTCACACTGTCACCCAGGACATGGCATTAATTGATTGTCCCACCTTGTGACACAGCTAATCTCAAAGGCAGATGCTACTGGTTAAGCGAAAATGTATTCCCAAATGAGAGACTTGGAGAAATGAGACAGAACCCGAGTTCTGTTCCTTGCTGCACGACCTTAGGCCAGTCACTTAACCTGGTGCTTTTCCATCTGCCAAATTCTTCCATAAAGCTCTACCTACCTCCCAGGGTTGCTGAGAGATTTTAAGTCCACCCTGTAAGACAAGGTCCCCACGTGAAAGGCTGCATGGGAAAGTCAGGCCCTGCTACTGCTGCAACTCACACATTTCTGCCACTTTGAAGAATCTCAGTTGCAAATGGAATTTATAAGGGACAAGAGGTCAAAACTTGCTGTTACTCCATCCACAATTAAAAGGCAGAGAACATCAAAAAACATATGGGTGCAGACTGTGCATGAATGCTATTTACTTTTCTCTCTCTCCCTCCCTCTCTCCCTCTCTCTCTCTTTCTCTCTATTTCATTCTCTTCCTATGTAGACTGTCAATTTGGTGGGTATATTCTAGTACTGTATGTTGCTGTTTCATTAACAAAGGTTATTTCATACACAGTCATTGTAAATATTTTGAAATGCATATTTTTAATTGTGGGGGTATAAAAATACAATCTGATTCCCTTTATTATAAAGAGTTTTGCCTTGGTGTTTTTTTCATTAGTGTTTCAGATATTTGTTAACAGAGACATTTGCACTGCCCACCAAATCAAAGCTCACTCCCTTAGGATGATACAGAACTACCATGTTCTCCTGGCTTGTCAGTATATGAGACTTCCTATTTTGGAGGGGAAGAGGAAGCAGAACAACTCTCTGAGCCCTTGTTTCAGGCTTTCTGCAAGCTTAGGCAAATACTGTGGCCTTGGTAAAAGTCAGTCCCAGAGCCAAGCTTTGCTTCACATCCAGGAGAGCTGGAAAAGTACTTTCTTGTTCACACTGACACTCTGGCAGAATCTCCTGTCTGTAGAAGCTGGTGCCTAAGAACCCACAATATTTATGTCTTAGATCAACCCAAAGAGTCCCAAAGTGAAATCGCCAAGGTGTTTGTCTCAGCCACTCAACCTGGTAGAGCTCCTTCCTCCTTAGATTTGTCTTACCAAACACATCATCAGAGCTGGAGCTTGAGCAAAGAGCCTAAAAGCCCAGGACACATGCCGATCTCAGCAAACTTGGGGTGCAATCCTGTAAGCTGTGATACATCCTTTAGATGAGGTCTAGGGGGAATCAGGCTTGGTAGGAAACTTTTCCTTATCAACTAGGCCACTTTAGGGAAAGCTAAGAGACATGCTAATCATGGGCAGAACTGTGACAGGAATCTAGCAGCTGACGTTTTACCAATGAAGCTCCTCACACACTGCAGCAGGGTGTGGGAAGGCTCGTGGTGTGTGACGGGTGGGCACTTGTCTTGGTCCCAGGAACCAAGCTGTGCCTCATCCTCTTTGACACTCCTAGCAGCACAGGCTAATCAAAGACCATTCAAGCACCGTGCAGCTAGGCTCCTCTAGCTACAGCCTGACATTGGTAGCTGAGACGCAAGCTAGCAGATGGGGAATACTGGGAGATGTTAACCAGGGAGCTCTGGGGGAACACTCCCACTGCTTGGCTGGTGTCCGTGGCCTGTTTCTAGCATGGCATGGATCACATATGACAATATGACACGTTACAGTCTGACAAGACAATCCCAGCTGTGTTGAGATGCCCAGGATAGCTCACAAACAATGGTCACAATTTTTGAACAATGTTCTCCAATAGCCCTTGCATCACTACATACTGTTGTCACTGGCTGCTGAGTAAGGATATGAAGGCTACTTGACCCTCCAAGCATCTTTGTTTGCCTGAATAACTACTGGGACTTTCTAAAGAGCTGATGCTCTAATGTATAGTCTGGAAAAATCACTGGGAAAAATCACTCTGGCATCTGGCAACCCTAGTCAATCCAGTCCCTGAAGTATAACCAGCCCAAATGGGACAGCCTTTGCTCAACACTTGGTAGTTCTCACCACAAGCTTCTGGGTCCTTTACATTAGGAAACGGCAGCTGGGGAATTACACTAGGCACCAGCAGGACAAAACATACCAAATAGAAAAGCACATGTCCACAGAGATCAATAAGTTACATAAAACAAAAGGAAATGGAAAAGGATAGGAGCAAACGATGCCATCAATTGCGTCATATGACTAGCGTTTGCTTGAAAAGCATCTTCAACCTGAAAGGACACTGCTCCACTGCTTCACAGACTATATCTGGAGAGACATAGAGTCAAGGCACCCAAGGAGAGCCATTCCAGAGATTTCAGGGACCAGGCCTCACAAGGGCCAGGAATAAAACTGGCTCCATTACTTCAGGGACAAATCACAGAAGGACTCTTACACTAGCAAGAGGAACCTATGGAAGAGGAGAAGCAGATAAACAAAATGATTTCCACTGCCTGAGGTTCCACTACAGAGCAAAGGAGGACCCCGCACCCCCACCTTGGTCCTCTGCTGCAGGTCACAGAGCTGACACAGTGCAAGGAGGCAGGGATTTTCCACAGACAACTGACTAATTCAGGGCATTTAACTGCCATAAATCACCCAGACCACATAAAAGGTCCATGTGCTAGCGCTGATTAACATCACACCAGGAGCTAGCAAAAGCTATACAGAGAGGAAAGCCCTGCCTGACCCCACTTTTCTAAGAGTTTCTAAGGAATGAAGCTAAATAAAAATTCTCCTGACAGGTGCTTGGTATGATGAGGCATTTCAGCACAGACCATTAGGTTTTGTTAGCCACGCTCAGAAGGAATTGGTAAAGGATATTTCCTTACTCACCACGAGGTAAGTAGAGCAGGGAGCTGCTGGAAGATCTAAATGAGGGATAGCCAAGGGGGCAAGAGCAAAACACAGTCTTGCTCTGACAGAAGTGTCAGGCCATGCAGGCTGGGAAGAAACAGTCCAATAACTGTTCACATTAACGGGTTGGAAATTATTTGTAAATGTTCACAGGAGTGTTACAAAAGCTGCTACAGACAGCTCAGGGGAGACTTCTGCTTTGTGAATGGCAAAAGCCAAAATCGGCCGAGCAAAGCAGCTGACTCCTAGGCTGATCACGGGGTGATGATAGCACTGAAAACACAAATGCAACAGCACTATTACAGAATGCAGCTGCCTGCCAGCACACCCAGAACGGGAGAAAGGCTCAACTCCTTGCTGCAAAGACAACAGATTAAAAAACAAAACAAAACCAACAAAAACCACACAACAAGTATGCAACGAATGGGGAAATGATGGGAGGCATAAAAGGTTGTGCTAGGAGATTACGGGTAAAACAGTATAGGTCACTTCCACCACTGGGGTAACTCTCCACTGCTGATATCCAAGATGCAGTTAGCCCAAGAATCATTTAACAGAGGAAAGTAAGAAGAGATCAACATGAAATATAGCCCCACACAAAACATATCCAGCCCAAGGGGCAGCTGCAATTGCACTAGTTCTCTTTAGAAGGCTGCTTAATCTTGGGATCATTTACATTTGCAGCTCTGCCAGCTCAGATAATAAGAGCAGTCAGGGTACCAGTTGATTGCCAGAGGAATTGAGAGGGAATTTTAATCCCGGGCCCTCTGTTTCCACATTGCATAGTTGGCAAGGTGTAGCACTGCAGGCGGCTCAGCTCTCTTGATATTGTCAGAGCCATGGTATTGGATTCCATACACCAGTGATCTGATGCATGATGACAAATCTCATGTTGCACAATTCACCCAAAGTATGTGGGTATCTATCTGGTATAAATATACACCTTGTCATCTGTTACGCTGCTTAGGAAACTTGATTGCCTTTCTGCTCAACCTAGTGTGGAAGGCTGTAGCTGGCAGCCTTCCTCCTTTCCACCCCCTCTTAGGCTTCTCATGTGGATCAGGCTAGCCAGGAACCAGAAGGTCCAATACATAGGGTGAGGGGTCTCCAGCCAACCTTTTCCTAGGGGTAAGAATAAGAGGCATGCTCTTCAGAGGAGATATATGAGGACCCAAGATGCTTTGTCTGACCTCCCAGGCTGATCCCAGTATCAGTATTTGGGCAACAGAGCCTGACATATCTGCGGTAAGGCTAGAGAAAGAGGCGATGCTGTGGAGCTCTGCCCTGTGCATACTCATACACTCATACAGATGGCCTGGAGAGTACACACAGCCAGAGGTGCTAAAGGGA